ACTCCGTGCGGCCATGCACCTAATTCCAAAATGAATCAGACGGGTCAAAAAGGTCAGAAAAAAATCCCGCCCCCCTCTAACGCACTTTCGGCAATCCGATTTAGGATCAGAAAGGTCAAGAAAAAATTCCCACACCCCCATGCGACTGCCCACAATGCGATTAAAGGTCAGCAACATTACCTAACCCCCCAATGCAGCGCTAACAAAAAAGCAAAAATTCACCCCGCCACCCGTTTCTCGTACCCACCACAAACCGATTTGGGGTCAGAAGAGTCCGGGAAAAATTGACTCCCTCCCTGCACCATTCGTGAAGGGTTAGGAAAAATTCTTCTCCTGTGCATCCTTCGCAATTTGATTTAGGATTGGAAGGGTCCGAAAAAAATGCCCGCCTCCTCATCGAACACGAAACAATTCGATTAAGGGTCAGAAGGGTCAGGAAAAATCTCATCCCTCGCAACCGCAATAATCCAATTAAAAGGGAGGAAAAATTGAAGCCCCCTCTCGCATCTTTCACAATCCGATTTAGAGTCAGAAGGGTCAGAAAAAAACCCCCCCCCCCCTCGCACAATTCACAATTCGATTTGATGTCAGAACGGGTAGAAAAGATTGTGCCAACCTCCTTGGACTTCCCACAATGCGATTAAGAGTCAGAAGAATCAGGGAAAATACCTCCTTCCCCTCACCGTTCCCAATTTGGATAAGGGTCAGGAGGGTCAGGAAAAAATTTCCACCAACCCTTGGACCTTCGCAATTTGATTTAGGGTCAGAAAGGTCAAAACGAAAATTCCCCCCCCCCCCTTCAACTTCCCACAATGCGATTAAGGATCAGAAGGGTCATAAAAAACCACCATTGCACCCTCAACTATCCGACTTAGGATATGTCAGAAAAAATTCCCCCCCGCCCCCTTCGACACCTAACAATGTGACTGAGGGTGAGAAGTGTCAGGAAAAATTCCCCACCTCCTCGCACGTATCGCAATTCGATTTAGCGTCAGAAGGGTCAGGTAAAATTTACCGCCCCCCCCTTGGACAATCCGTAATGTGATTAAGGGCGACAAGGGTCAGGAAAAAATCCCCTCCCCTTTGCATTCTCAACAAAGAACCCAAAATTCTCCTCAGCCGCCCAACGCACCAACTACCCGATTGAGGGTCAGAATGGTCACAAAAAACATTCCCTCTCCTTGGATCTTCCACAATCCGATGTGGAGTCTCAAGGGTCAGAACCCCCCCCCCTGTAGGATTCGAGGTGGTGTTGGATCGGGAAGGTAACGAATCAACTACGCGAGGCAACGGTTGCAAACTAGTAATTAGTTTATTGTCGTGATATGAGTATGTACAGGATGAGTCGGTGGTATGAATATATTATATATACAGGTGAGGTGGAGATGTCCACCGAGCGGCGAGAGCCACACGACTACTAAGCGGGAGCGATTGCGACACCTGGGACGTGCATGTGTTCCTCAGGTGTGTGTCTATGAGAGCGGTGCGATACGCGTCTCAGTGTGAATGGAGCGAGCCGCTACATGACTCCCTGCTTAGAGTGAATGTAGAGGTGAATGCTGCCTGTGTGATGTGTGGACTATTTGTAGGAACAGAGTAGCAAAGGCGGAATGTTGACATCCGATGCACTCCTCGTTTGTATCGCGTATGTTGAATGGGAGAAATTCGACCGTTGACACGGCGCGTTTCAGACAATCACAAAATAATTGAAAGGAAATTATTACTAACGGAGATTAAATGCTAGATTATTTACAACAGTGGTTGCCCTCTGAATAAAGTCGTTAGAAATCTTTATTTTAGCACTAACACAGCACAACGTTCATTGGATGCTCTGCAATGTGTTAGCGGGTGCGAGAGATACAACACTACACTCGGTACATGTGCACTGGGCCGCGGTAATTAGCGAGGCGGGAATCACACACGCACTAATAAACTGAACCGTGTTGCCAGGCAACCAGTGTGTCTGATTTGCGTGCGCACTGGAGCTGTGCGTGCGTAGCAAGTTGGAGAAGACGTCCGAGTATCGATTTTCGCAGGACTCCATTTTCGCACAGGAGAACGACCACGTGGAGAAAATTGAATGAAGTCTTTTTCTACTACAGTGTATCACTGCACTGAGATTTATGTACACTGACGAGGTGTTGCGGCACGGGAGTTTTTTAGCGAACCCGTTTCGTGACCGAAATTATTTATTTAACGCGTTGAACAAAGCTAGACTCTTCCTGGCTAAAGGCACGCGCATTCCTTTCACTTGTTGCACTCGCGCTTCCCTTTGATGTTGAGTGAGAAACTGCCTGTCACACAGTTTCCCGGTAACCAATGTAGGATTCGAGGTGGTGTTGGATCGGGAAGGTAACGAATCAACTACGCGAGGCAACGGTTGCAAACTAGTAATTAGTTTATTGTTGTGATATGAGTATGTACAGGATGAGTCGGTGGTATGAATGTATTATATATACAGATGAGGTGGAGATGTCCACCGAGTGGCGAGAGCCACACGACTACTAAGCGGGAGCGATTGCGACACCTGGGACGTGCGTGTGTTTCTCAGGTGTGTGTCTATGAGAGCCGTGCGATACGCGTCTCAGTGTCGATGTAGCGAGCCGCTACACCCCCACCCCTCGAATCCTTTGCAATTCGATTTAGGGCCAGAAGGGTCAGGAAAAAAATTCCACCCCCCTTTGGATCACTCAGAATGCGATTGAGGGTCATAAGTGTCAGGAAAAATGCCCCCCCGNGTTCCTCAGGTGTGTGTCTATGAGAGCGGTGCGATACGCGTCTCAGTGTGAATGGAGCGAGCCGCTACATGACTCCCTGCTTAGAGTGAATGTAGAGGTGAATGCTNTCCCCCCCCCCCTTGGACATCCCACAATGCGATTAAGGGTGACAGGACAGGAAAAAATCCCCTCGCCCTTGCATCCTCAACAAAATCCGAAATTCCCTCCTCCCCACCATCGCACACTCAACTATCCGATTGAGGATCACAAGGGTCAGAAAAAGAATCCCCTCACCCTTCGGATCCGCCGAAATCCAATTTCGGGTTTGAAGCGTCAGGAAAAAAAGGCCCCCGCCTCTTCGGACCTTCGCAATTTGATTTAAGGCCCTAAGGGTCAGAAAAAAATATTTCCCGCCCTCCCCACCTTGGATTTCCCACAATGCGATTAAGAGTCAGAAGAGTAAAAAAAATCTCCCCATCACACCCTCAACAATCCGATTTAGGGCCACAGGGGTAAAAAAAAAATCCCCTTCCCCTTGGACTTACCACAATGCGATTAAGGGTCAGGAAGGTAAAAAAAAATCTCCCCCTCCCCCCCATCAAAACCATGACAATCCGATTTAGAGGCAGGAGGGTCAGGAAAATCCTCCCCCCCTTGGACTTTCCGCAATGGAATTAAGGGTCACAAGGGACAGGAAAAGATCCCCTTCCCCTTGCATCCTCAACAAAGAACCCAAAATTCCCGCCTGCCCCTGTCGTAATTGAGGATTTGGACTATTAAGGTTTAGTCAATCACTCACGAGTTTTAGTTAAAATACTAAATTAGGTATTTATTCGTAATCGCGTAAAAGTAAAAGTACAGTAGAAAATATATGTGAGTATTCAGAATTGAGGTCGGAGATGATCTGACGAATGGTCAGTGTGGATTTAATTGTCCCTCGACAGGTAGACGCGTGACAATAGGTGCGAGTGAGCGAAATGAACATTAGACTGAGATAGCACTCGTGTCGATGAGCGGTGGATCTCGGCTATCGCTCCTCACGTGTGTGTGGATGTAGTGGTAGTCACTACAGGACTCCCTCTGTTAGAAAAGAAAGTCGTGGTTATTCTGTATGACTGTACAGGCAGCTTTAACTATTGTTGAATAGATTGTCTGGAACAGAAAAAAATTAATCGAGGAATTTGGAAAAAATTTTTGGGCGCGCTTATAGCGCAAATCGGACCGTTTTGGTCTTTTGCTGGTGCTCGTGGGTGGAGCAGTAGTGCGAGCGCTGGTAGATGGTGTTGGTTCATCTCGAAGCTCGTCCTGTCGTTGCTCGGTTGGCGGTTGTTGCTCTGGCAATTGTTGTAGGTCCTCTGGCAAGATGTATGCAGACTTCAGTCGATCGATAGAGATGGGAGTGTTTTTGTAGTTTCCGAGTCCCCCTGATCGAAACCAAATGACAAAGTATTTGTCATTTCTGCTGACCACTCTGTATGGACCTGTGTATGGTGATCCATACGCCATGTGGAGACTGTCCGTACGTACGAACACTCGAGTGCATGTCGAGAGGTCTTTGAAGACGAAGGTGGCTCGCGTTCCGTGTCGTGATATTGGTACAGGTGCGACATTGCGGAAGTGAGCTCGAAGCCTTTTTACCAGTGATGGCGCTGTGATTCTGTCATTTGATGAGGCCAAAAATTCTCCAGGCACACGAATGCACTCTCCATAGGTCAACTCGGCTGGTGTTGTCTGGATGTCTTCTTTCCATGCGGTTCTCAGTCCGAGGAGCACCGTAGATAATGCGTCGTACCAGGCCTCCCCGTGGCATCGTAACGCTGCTTTGAGGTGTCTGTGTAGCCTTTCGACGAGACCATTTGCTTGGGGATGGTAAGACGTTGTCATTATGCACTTGGAGCCGAGTTGTGTGAGTTGCTTGAAGGTGTCCGAGTAGAATTGTCCGCCTTGATCGGATGTAATTCTCAGCGGGATTCCAAAGCGAGCGATCCAATGGTATAGCAATGCGTGGACCACAGTAGCTTGGCACGACTCAACTAGTGGCACTGCCTCTAGAAAGCGTTTAAATCAGTCGACTATCGTGAGATACCACTTGTGTCCTTGTGATTCAGGCAGAGATATGAGATCCATGTGGATGTGTTCAAACCTCTGTGACGAGAGTTGGAGTTCACTGATGGGTGTGGCAGAGTGTCGTGGGATTTTGTTCCTCTGGCACGCGATACAGTGCTTAGCCCATTCTACACAGTCTTTATTCATTGAGGACCAGACGTAGTGCCGTGCGACGAGTCGGCGTGATGCTCTGCATCCGGGATGAGCGAGAGTATGTAGAGAGTTGAATATCCGTCGTCTCAGTAGCTCTCGAATGTAAGGACGCACTGTATCTGATTGTTCGATACAGTACAGTGTCGTATTTACCCCTGGAAACTTGATTCGTTTGAGTTTCAGGGCTGAGTCTGGTTGGCGGATGAGTTGTAGTAGTTCTTGGTCGTTCTTCTGGGCTTGCTCGAGTTCTTCGTTGGAGACTGTCGTGGCTATCGTTTCAATGCGAGGTAACATGTCAGCGACTATGTTGTCGGATCCAGCGACGTGTCTGATGTCTGTCGAGAATTGTCCGATGAAATCGAGACGTCTGAACTGCCATGGAGAAGCACGATCCGGTCTTCATGCGAATGCGTGTGTCAGCGGCTTGTGATCCGTAAATATCATGATGTGGCGTCCTTCGAAGATGTGTCGAAAGTGTTTCACGGCCTCGAATATTGCGTGAAGTTCCCTATCATACGCTGAATATTTCTGGATTGAAGGTGAGAGCTTTCGACTAAGGAAAGACAGTGGTTGCCAGAAGTCTTGGTGTTTTTGTTGGAGGACAGCTCCAATCCAGGAGCAATGATGGGGTGTAATGATGGCAGTGTTTGGAAGGTCCTGAGGTACGACGGGGATCTGATTGAACGCTTCACAAGGTCTATGGTAGAATAAATTGTGGTACCATGTAAGTTAGCAGCGTAATCATCAAGGTATCTGATGGGATACTTATTTGGGATTGGTCGGCTATTGAGGGCGCGGTAATCTCCACACGGCCTCCACTCGCCATTGTTCTTTTCAGCTAGATGAAGGGATGATGCCCAAGGGCTCCGTGAACGTCTCGTTGTTCCCAGCCTCATCATCGATGAGAATTCCGACTGGGCGACCTTGAGTTTCTCAGGAGCGAGGCGTCGCGCTTTGCATGAGACTGGTGGTCCCGGCGTAGTTCGAATGTAGTGGAGAGTTATGTGTTCCGCGACTTTGAGTGTCCCGTCCGGTTTGGTGATCGGCGGGAACCCTTGGAGAATCTGCATCCATGGTGTGTCACCTGTTATCTGAAGTGATTTCACTGAAGTAGCATCGCAGTTGGCACGTCTGCCGTTTGATGCGAGCTTAGTCGTTTCGTCGATGACGCATTGGGGCTTCAAGTCCGCGAGGAGAGCAAAGTGACTGAGGAAATCAGCTCCGATTATTGGACGTGAGACATCGGCCTCAACAAAGCGCCAGGCCAGGTTTCTTCTAAGTCCAAGATCAGGGTAGAGAATCACGTGACCATATGTATTGATCACTGATCCATTTACCGCAAAGAGTTGGTATCCTGTAGATTTTCTTGATCAAATCTGCCGCCTGCGGGGGAAGACCGAAACGTCTGAACCCATATCCACGAGGAATTGAAGACCAATTGTCTTGTCCGTGAGGAAAAGGCGGCGGGATAGTCCGAGAGTTCACACAATTACGTGCCTTGTTGCTGTACTTGTTGTGATACCAGCATATACCTGTAGTCTTGTTCAGCTTGTGGGTGCTGCGTGAACGACGGCGTGATCGTTTCGGATCAGGTTTGGTATCACGACGAGAGACGTGAGTTGCTAAGCTGGCGACCTGCTTCGTGAGCTCAGCGATCTGTTGTTCCAGCTTTGAAACAGATGCGACTCTCGCTGGCTGCAATACTTCATGGAGTCGATCAGCTGTTTCGGCAAGCTCCTTAAGTGTTGCTGTCTTTCGCATGACGAGACAGGCCTGAGTCGTTTGGGGCACATGTGATACCCAGCGAACTTTAAGGATGTCTTCATCGATATCTGGTACCAGGCACTTGAGGTGACGAAAATGTTCGGATGGTTTACGATCACCGAGTTTCTCGCCATCAAGCAGCTGGAGCAGATTCGCTTGTTTTGATTGGGTGAAGCGCTCGATGAACTTGTTTTTAAGTTTCTGATGGGAAGTGTCCATCGGTGGGTTGATGATCAAATCTTCCACTTGTGCTGCTGAACGTGTCGATAAGCGGGACTGCAAAGTGGAATTTCTCTATTTTTGTGACAGTTCCTTCGTTGCGGAACTGTGATTCTAACTGTGCGAACCAGAGAGCGGGATTTTCTTCACAGAAACGAGTAGTTTTTACATCGACGACCTGCGTAACTTGCACTCGAGGTATTATAGGCAGCCCGGCCTCGTCGAGATTTGGTGGCATTTTTGATGAGTTTCTATTGAGAGGAAATGTTTACGTCACAACACAACACAAGAAATAAAGGCGTTATTAATCTTTATCATTCTGCTAGCACAGCGCAACGTCTATGGGCACTTAGGAATGTGCCAGCAAAATCGATTTCACTCGCGGTCACTGTCTAATGCACGGTGAAATTGAAATAAAATTGTGTTGTCTTTATCACACTCATTTGACGAGTATCTAATAGCACTGGGCGCGTTTGTTTTGTCTCCTCGAGGTCAAATTTGGGGCGAAAACCGACGCGTGAAATATTCTCGAACGCTTGGGTTTCACGAAAATTTACCGGAAGATTTAAAACGCTGGCTATTGTAATAGTTTATCCCTTGAGAGCACGATTTAAATGTTTAGATGCACTGCACACGTGGGATGTGAAAGTTAATAGACGAAAACACTGTTTGATTCAGACGTTGAGAGGAGGCGGCGAAAACGTGGCACGTGTCCGTTGAACGCCCGAGATCCGTTGTAACTGTTTTTGACGATCACGTCGGGGTCACCAATGTCGTGATTGAGGATTTGGATTGTTAGGGTTTAGTCAATCACTCACGAGTTTTAGTTAAAATACTAAATTAGCTATTTATTCGTAATCACGTAAAAGTAAAAGTACAGTAGAAAATATATGTGAGTATTCCGAATTGAGGTCGGAGATGATCTGACGAATGGTCAGTGCGGATTTAATTGTCCCTCGACGGGTAGACGCGTGACAATAGGTGCGAGTGAGCGAAATGAATATTAGACTGAGATAGCACTCGTGTCGATGAGCGGTGCGTCTCGGCTATCGCTTCTCAGGTGTGTGCGGATATAGTGGTAGTCACTACATGCCCCACCCCCCACCCATCGCACCAATAAGTATCCGATTTGGGGTCTGAAGGGTCTGAAAAAAAATCCCCCCTCCCGCTTTGGACTTACCGCAATGAGATCAAGGGTCAGCAGGGTAACAAAAAACTCCCATCGCATCCTCAACTATCCGATTTAAGATCAGATGGGTCAGAAAAAAATTCCCATCACTCCTTGGATACTTCACAATCCGATTTGGGGTCTGAAGGGTCAGAAAAAAGTCCCCCCCCCCTTGCATACTTCGCAATTCGATTTAGGGTCAGATGGGTCAGGAAAAATCCCCCCCCCCTCGGACATCCCACAATGCGATTAAGGGTGACAGGATAGGAAAAAATCCCCTCCCCCTTACACCCTCAACAAAGAATCCAAAATTCCCCCCTCCCCACCATCGCACACTGAACTATCCGATTTAAGGTCATAAGGGTCATAAAAAAAATCCCCTTACCCCTCGGATCCGCCACAATCCGATTTGGGGTCTTAAGGGTCGGGAAAAAAACCCCCCGCTCCTTGGACCTTCGCAATTTGATTTAGGGTCCGAAGGGTCAGAAAAAACAATTCCCCCCCCCCACCTTGGACTTCCGACAATGCGATTAAGGGTCAGAAGGGTAAAAAAAATCTCCCCATCACACCCTCAACAATCCCCAAAAAAATCCCCTTGGATCTTCCACGATCCGCTGTGGTGTCTGAAGGGTCAGAATTCCCCCCCCCCTCGAGGACCCTTCACTTTTCAATTTAGGGTCACAAGGGTCAAAAAAAAATTTCCCCACACTTGGACTTCCCACAATGCGATTAAGGCTCAGAAGGGTAAAAAAAATACCTCCTCCCCTCTCAAGATACCCTCAACTATCCGATTTACGGTCAGATGTGTCAGAAAAAAATTCCCCTCACCCCTTGGATCTTCCACAACTCGATTTGGGGTCTGAAGGGTCCGAAAAAAAAGCCCCCCCCCTACTCGGAGTCATTGTTATTCGATTTAGGGTCAGAAGGGTCGGAAAAAAAATTTCCCCACACTTGGACTTCCCACAATGCGATTAAGGGTCAGAAGGGTCGGAAAAAAAATTTCCCCACACTTGGACTTCCCACAATGCGATTAAGGGTCAGAAGAGTCTAAAAATTTTCCCTCCCCACCTCCCGTGGACTTCCCGCAATGCAATTAAGGGTCAGAAGGGTCAGGGAAAATTACCGACCCCCGCCTCTTTAGACTTACCACAATGTAATTGAGGGTCAGATGGATCAGGAAAATCAGGAAAATCCCTCCCTCGCACGCTTCGCAATTCGATTTGGGGTCAGAAGGGTAAAAAAAAATTCCCCCCCGCCCCCGAGGACTCTACTCAATGCGATCAAGGGTCAGAAGGGTAAAAAAAATCTCCCCATCACACCCTCAACAATCCGATTTAGGGTCACAAGGGTCAAAAACAATTCCCCTTCCCCTTGGACTTGCCACAATACGATTAAGGGTCAGAAGGGTAAAAAAAATCCCTCCTCCTCTCTCATCCCACCCTCAACTATCAGATTTAGGGTCAGATGGGCAAAA